ATCTGAAAACACCGGACGATCCGGTGGAAAAATAAATTTTTCCGGGGGGGGAGAGCAACCCTCCGATGAACTCGGATTGAACTTCGGTAAAAGCCATCGCAGGACCACACCTACCCGGCTAAAAAATCACCTAGATCGTTTTACGGAAAGGGATTGGGTTTATTACCGCGCACATCCCCTGTCTAACGCTGAAAAGAAATTTCATGCGGGTTTTGCACCAAAATGGCTAGGTCCATTGCAAATTGGTAAAAGATCAGGTGAGGGGGTCTATGTAACCAAAGGTAAAAGTCAGTTGAAGCTTCACGTTTCGGCCCTTAAACGTGCAGCTCAATTGGAGTATTCTAACGATTTTGATTGGTTACAGAATGGCAGATCACCAGCCGACGGTCTCAAGACTACACTCCAGGCGATCGGCAGGCCAAAACCGACCCAATCGCCTATCACGTGCCGCCACGGCAGAGGTCGTCGCGATGATGCGAAGCGTGATGCGGAAGATGAGGAGAGGGGTATCCACCTTAATGGGGGAACCCGCCGACGACGTTCCGACGGAATGGACGGTCGAGAGGGCAAGGCGGGCGGAGTTATGGGAGATCCGCGCCAACCCTCTACTCTGGGCCATCTACGAGAGAGGAGTCGCCGATAGTGGTCGCAGCTCAGGAGGCATGGAAGGCCACGGACCACGGGGCAGGAGAACGCGTGNCCATGGAAGGCTACGGACCACGGGGCTGGAGAACGCGAGTGAGACGTACGATACCTCACACCCCGCGTACCCGGCAGCCGGCTCAACAACGTCTCGAACGACCACCGGCATCGGTAAGTCGCCCGGTGACTAACCGTCACAATATGCGCGACGAGAACGGTCGTTTCCGTCCTCGTTCCAACCGGACTCCGGAACGGACACAGTCCCCAGCTCGAACAGTGAGTCAAGAACCAGTGATATTACACGCTGNTTCAAGAACTAGTGATATTACACGCTGGGGCACCAAGCCAGACACTTACTATGCCACCACGTCAAATACCTCGCCAGAGAGTGATCTCGGAGAGGGAGGTCGGAGGTCGGCACGGGGTTTCGGACGTATTAGTGTAGTATCACATTTTAATACATGTAATAATTAATACTTATATTTAATAAAATACATCACCAAATCAGTGTTTCCCCGTGGATAAGATGATTAATAAAATAATACCCTTACACAAGATTTAACCTCCCTCTTACGCATTCCATAAAATGCCCACGTAAAAGATTCTATCACATTAACCAATCAAATACAGCAAAAAATATTTCAAGAATCTCACCAGAGATCGCTAAACCAGTTTTGCAGGCTATAAAAAGGCCATTTTCCCCCAAATTCGGGTGGTTCCTCTGCGGCTTCGCTTCCCTTAGTGTGGCTTGTTTCGCAGTGGTACGATTTCTGAACATCCCTCTAGCGAATACTGGGACGCCTTGCCATTCTATCTATACATCTCTACGGCTCTCTGGAATACTCAACCAAGATACAAAAAGTGAATGTGCGTGAGTTTATGTTTCATTCTTAGTTACAATTCTATATGAAATCTANGCCACTTGGAAATAGTTTTGTTGCACAGGACAGTTATGTTGCTTAGAAGTTGTTCATTTGCTTTATAAATTATTAAATAATAAATATATTAAGGTAAAACACCATATGCAAGGTTAAGAACTATATTACATAAATATACAAAAGTTTTTGCAAAAAGACAGAGTTACCATAAACTTAGATTTCACCTTGGGTAGATTTAATATAGAATTGTACTAGAAAAGTAGTTACATGCGAGTTAATAATAATATAAACCGTATAAATATAATTGCGTGCATTAATGCGTAAACGTATACATCGATAATCATTACATCAACAACATCATTCATCTCAAGAGAATATCAGGATAGTCAGAGGTAAGTGAAACATTTGTTTATATAATAAGTTTATAATAGATCCTTTACTGAAGAATTTTTTAGTAATAAACAATTAGAACAAGATAGGTCATTGAGAATAAACTGAAATATTTTTATAAAAAACACGATATTTGTGAGTCGCCGGAAATTAGTGTGCGCGTTTCTGTGCAGGAGCTAGGTAGTGACCCTTCTTTGTAATTCCATCTTATTCATACATTAGACGTTTTTACACAAGCATACATACCCCGAGATCCCTTTCTATTTCATTTTATTGTAGTCACTGCCGGGTATCTATAGACACTTTTACTTTCCATTGGTACCCATCCTTTTTACACTACGCCTGCTACGATTATTATTTCCTTATTGGCCACCTGTGTTACATTTCTTTACATTTCTTCCCTTTCACACTCCGAGCCCCAAACACATTTAACAACATTCCTTCGCCACCTTATTATAGCCATTTTATTTATTACAAAACTACCTACATACCCATACCCACGTTTCTCTTTTTGTTTATTACAAGCATATTCCCGGCATATCCCCTTTTTATCTTTTCCTTTTGTTTATTACAAGCTATTGGCATTCTCACATTTTTTCTTTTTGTTTATTACATTAGATACGAACGGAAACCGTCGCCATAGTCTGCCGGTCGTATTTGTGGGAGGTGATCGAACAGATCCGACCTTATGTACGTTTATACAGCCCGACACGGTGGAGCAGATGGAGTTGGAGCCGGACGTCGAATCCATACTGAACGCGCCCCCCATCTATATGTCGGATGTTGAAGGGCTGGAGGACGTTCCGCCTGACCAGCTGCCCTAGGCACACTGTAGGGCCGACCGGTCGGACTGGGGGGGGGAGTATGTCGCGGTCGCTTCTCATTTCCGGTGTTACCACCGGATGGCGATCGCGGCGCTTCCTCTTCACGTCCGACAGGTCGCGCGCTATTTGCGGTGACCGACGGGCGGTGAGAACCGGTCGCTCGGTGCTGGACAATATTCATATTCGTTTTTTCGATCTGTCACGTTGACCTTTTATGAGGAACAAAATATAACTTTATTTAATTATTGTATAATTAAGATTATTGTTGTAGTGACTAATAAAAAACGCTATTGGTTTACTACTTATTATTATTGTTATTATTGTTGTCATTATTATTATATTTACTACCCCGAACACATCATACTATAAGGATTAATGATCGTTAAATACATATCAATATGCTGTCGAGGAATTGTGTGTTATGATTACTTATGTTATCGTAGTGCTATAACGAATTGTCGATCTTCTCTCTATATCTGCATTGTCGCCGCCATCTTAGCATTTTTTAGCTATAAGCTCTATGGCGACTTGCGAGCCAGTCGTTTTTGTATTCGTTTTGTTGTATGAGTAAAATATCACCTTTGCGATTGTCGCACCTTTGTGCCCTCAGTAAATCGCCATTGGGTCTAAATATTTTTGACATACATCGCAGTACTGTTCACAGCATATTGTACACGTTGGTCTACATTCAACATTATCATCAACAGTTTCAAATAGCCAATAAGTATAATACTTTTTCATCTTCTTTCTAAGACTTACTCACATTTATAATTTATTATTCATTTATATCAGCGACATTCTGGCCTTAGTATTAAGTGTCCCCCTATCCACTTTGGTATATATAAGATTTTATGGTTCTTGTATAATATATTTCATCGTTATAATTATTTATTGTAAAATTAATTTTACATTAATTCATACAGAACAATGTCCTTATTCCTTATTCTCGACATAACCTGACTTAAGACGAAATAAAACCACGAACGTTAACGAACCCGCGTGAATATCACCGGGTGTTTCGTTCATTTAATGATACTTATCAAGCTGGAAATGAGGCGGAATATATGTACACAGAATTCAATCAATAGGGCTACATATCACTCTATTTATTAATATGCATACAACTTAATGATTTCTTGTCCAAAATTTGTTAACTAATCCGCTCCTAACTACGATATTGAATTAAGATACACTATTTACTACCACATGAACATTAAAAATATTCTATAAAGAAATAATAATTAAATAACTAGTAGATAACATCATCAATGATGATAAAAATTAACATGTATGTAGAACATGGACGAATCACGAAATTTTCTATTTACTTTCGATAATACTGATAATAGCAAGTGTAAACTGCAAATTTTGTTTAGAACTACAAGAATTGAAGAAATAGTGGTAGTTTAAATACAGAGAGCAATTTTACGAGTTGATTGTTGAAAAACTTGTTAAATAGATATAAAAGCTATTGATGAATCAATCACTGAAAATGTATATATAATAGATGATTTACTATATTATGATTTTAATTTATTTTCTTTAACTATAGTAGACATATTTAAAGGAATCATTAATAATATATATAGCGATTGTTCAATTATGACTTACAAAATATCTTTAAAGGTATAAACATAAAATTATATTTTCTTATCAGAAATTATTATATCTTACGTGCTATGACTTTTAAAAAATAATTTGGTCTTACCTTACTCGTTCATTCTAAAAAATATCAATTTTTGTTTTTTTATGGAAACATACATATAGTTAAAAAGAAATTACAATTTTTGTATCAGCATTTTAAAATATATCTTAAATTTAAAAAATGTTAATTAGAATTTTTATACTTTGACGGGAGAAGTAGTGTGGTTCATAAATGTCAAGATATAAAATAAATAGATCTATAAATTCCAAAATACTGGTTTAACACTTGTTAACAACCGATTATTTTGAAAGCGAGATCATTTTTTATTCTAATTTTTAATTTGATTAAACAAATAATTATTATATTATAATATTACAAAATTATAAGGGAGAGAGGGAGTAGACAAAACTTTCGTTAGAAAATTATAGAACTTAGAGTATTATTAATTTCTGAAAATTAAAAATAATATATGAAAAGATATTTCGTATATCATAGTTCAATAGGCACTCTGTATATTTATATATATTAGGTAATAAATAATTCAATTTTAATGTTTACTTATTAATATTTGTTCAGTAAGAAGCTTTTATAAAGACATTTATTTTTGGTATGACATTTGCTCGAAGAAAATTGTGGAAGTATAGCATCAAAAAAAAGAAAATAAATAAAAATGGTTTGTACATTGTAATGATATAATTAGTCATTTTAATTGTAATTATGCTTTTATTATTTTACAGAATTATCCAGTCTTGTTGAGTTTGAGTTTGTTTTTTTTCACAGGTAATTTTTTTTTTTATTATAGAAAATGATACAATTTATATAATATATACAATAAGTAATTATTGTAATTTATTATTATATACAAGTTATTATGAAAAAAAAATAACTTGTGGAGAGGTTACCCAGTGCGGGACCTTATCTAACTTTAGTAATTTAGTAAATTAAAGTGCTAATATAACATAATTATTTCTCGGGTAATAATCATTCTTATCAAAATAAACGAATAAATATTTGGAGTTAATTGTATAGGTGATGAAATAACGTATTTTTTTAATGATAGAAATACTGTTTGAGAGTCAGCTTCCGATTTTTTTCTACTCATAACATAACTAAATCATTTAAGTCTATTTTCTCTCACCTTATCCACGATTGACGCTAGATCTATACTCCCTTTTATATGTTTGTTTCTTATCCTATCTGATTTGGTTATAACTAAATATTTAATTTCAAATTATATTTATTATTATTCAATTTTTCTTTTACGAAGAAAAATTGTACGCACTGATATGATTATAATAGACTGTGATATTCCTAATTCAGAATACAAAAATTTAGTGGACATGATTCATAGTTGATAATGTCTACTCACTTAAATTAAGTCGATTAGTTTGGTTTTACACACTAAAAGTATTTAGAAATATCAATGTTATACTTCTTATTAAATCTAATAATATAATTAATCATGCTACTATAAATACAATATATATGTATATATATACAGGGTGATTTTTTTATCATAACCCACTCAATTACTTACAGAATAATAATAATTTAAACAATTTTTTTTATTATTATCNTCTCCCTGTATATAACAATTTATTTTATACTCTTTTTGTGATTTATTTTTGTATATATCATAATCAGTCACCACAGTATACATAAATGTTGTTATAACTGGTTGATGTATCGAATTAATCAATATTTTTTTTTACACTGTATAACTTATAACAGAGTACAACAGAATTTTAACCAATGATGAAAATCAAAAACGGTATTTATTACAAATTGACAAGGATTATAAAAATAAGTATCCCGACAGGAAAAAATCAACTTTATTATGATGTAAAGAATTTTGAAACTGAAAAAAACAATTAGCATAATTTATACATTTGTAACATCAGCAATTTTTTTTCAACTGTGTATTTTTAATATTTTTGTGGATGGAGGGGGTGCTTAGCCCACACCACGGTTTTGTGCTGAATTTATTAATAATTAAACAATAAACGATTTTTGTATAAAAGATTTATTCGTATCTCTAAATGTTTGTCAAATATAATGTAGTATTCGTAAATATTCCAATTTCGGCAAATCGATAAAATATAGTATAATATAGGTAGCTAATTGGTTTTTTATAACATCGATATTAGCAGGTACACAGCATTGTTATTATCAATTGTAGTAAGGCACATTGTTATTAGTTTATAAATACACTAACTGACAATACAGAAAGTATATCTATTGATAATCATAATTGATAATAAACAATCCGTGACTGAGACAGCAATGTCATAAAAATCCAATTAGCTACCTGTATTTACAATCCCATGTGTATTATACATGTATATTAACTCAAAATTTTGAAACTTTAAATGTTTATATCTAATAAGCTAATAAAGTTATATTAAAAATTCAAATGCCATTTACTATTAAATTAAAAACTCAAACATTTTATTAAATTAAAAATATGTGTTACCATTTAAAAAAACAAAGTTGACCCCCCTCCAAGGCATAAGGGATGAACTTAAAAAGTATTACATAGTTAAAAATTCAAGAATAATGTGTAACTAAAGATAATAAAAAAAAAAATGTTTAAATTATTATTATTCTGCAAGTAATTGAGTGGGTTATGATAAAAAAATCACCCTGTATATATATATAAAATATAATTAAATAAATATATAATATAAATAAATTTCAGCAAATCGATAACATATAGTATAATTTTAAATTTTACTCAAAAACTAATGAGTTTAAAAAAAAATGTGTAAGAATAAAACTTATAGCCCTTAATATTATCAACAATTTATATACTATAATTTTTTTTCTANCCTTAATATTATCAACAATTTATATACTATAATTTTTTTTCTATTATCGCTCATTTACGAATTAAGTACAAAACACTAGAAAACTACCCCAATTGTCCAATTTTTAAACCCGAGTAGGCACGGGTTAAACTCGTCTGATTGAAGTGAAATTTTTTTGGTTCGTTTTTACATGTATATAAACAAATTTGGTGGATGAGACCAAGGAATTTCTAAAAGAAATTTTTCATAATCTATAACTAAGGATCACTCTAATATATATATATATATATTTATTTATTTATGTATTTTGAAAGCATATGGTATCCCAGCCGATAACCAAAAAGAAGAACGTAAGTTAAAAATTCATTAATTCTTTATTTCTAAAAAGAATCCAAGTGATTTTTTTGGCTAAATAAATTTAGAACTTCTTAAATCTGATGATGCAAATAATAAATTAATAAAATACATAATAGTAAAGATAAAATAATAAAAAATATGTTTTTTTTATTACTTTGACAAAAATATATCAACATTTTTGTGGAAGTAATAAATATAAAAATATAAATATCATAGAGTATCATAAACCACATAATTATTCTCAAAATAAATATTTAAAAAAATTGTTTTTGTTTTTAGTTTCTTATATTTCTTCATTTATCAGCTAATAACTACCTTTTAGAATCATCTCTTATAAATTGTAAGGGTGTGAACTTTATTTTATCAAGTGGCAACGTACATAATTTACTAGCTTATTTAATGATAATGATTTAATTCATAAAATTACTGGTTGTTATCTACTACTCATTTTCATATGTCATCATTATTTGTTAAAGAAGCTAATAAATTATGTACGTTGCCATTTGAAAAAAATAAAGTTGACATCTCTATAAGTTATGAAGGATAATTTTAAAAACTAATTTATTACTAATAAATCAAAAAATATATGTAATTAAAAAAAATACAATTTTTTCTTATCATTGTATTTATTTTACTAAAAACGGAATTGTTTATGATAAACCCATTACCTTTTATATATTATTTTTTATGTCTTGTAAACAGATGGTATCCCAGCCGATAACCAAAATGATAAACGTAAGTTAGAAGTAAATTAGTCATTTCATATTATATTTCTGACTATTGAAATAGGTCGACATAGAGGATAAGAGATCTATATTGTTATTAAGTAGGCATGGGGTGGTGCGGCGTAACTCTTTTTTGTTGTTAGTCAGTGGTAAACCAAATATCGAATGGTAGGACTTGCGTTCTGAAAGTTTTATTCGTATAAGAAATGTAAGTCATATCGTAAAAATACAGTTCACATTATTAGCTTAAATAGATTGTTTTTAGTTTGCTATAAAATACCGTAAGCCAACAAAAGAAATGTTGAAGTTTTCCTTTACGAACAAGAGTTATACCCATTTATAGATTTTAGAAAAAGAAATGTAGTTTTCGTAACTCAGAGTACAACATTTTAGTGGGGCAGATTTATAGAAGATAATGCTACACTTTTAAAATACGGAAGAATAGTTTGGTTTGATACGTTAAAATATTTAAAAAATTAATTTTATAGTATTTATTTCATAAAAATATTATATGTTTCAATGAATAATATTCATGTTTCTTAGAGTAAAGTAATTAAGGACCACGAGATCCAGCGGTGTTTATCGTAGACATTTCAGTAAAATTTGTCTCATTTTTCTTGGTGTTGTGTGTTGGTAGAGATTGAAAAATTATTGTTGACATGTCCCCAGGTACACTATACAGTCACAAATCCAGTATCATTTTTTTATAACGATTTATTTTTACATGTTTGGTGATTGTAATACACATCACACGATACGAAATGTATGATATTGTTAATAGAGCTCTTATAAATCAATAATTAAACGATAGCATAGTATAAATGATTAATAATATAAATGATGATTTTATATATCTATTTTGAAAGCATGTGACATTCACGGCGAAGACCAAAATGAAGAACGTAAGTTAAAACGTAATTAACTCTTTATTTTAATAAAGAATTCAAGTGTTATTTTTTACATACTTTCACAATGTCCATTAGTAAACAGTATATCTACATATAAAATAAAAATGTTTTGTGCAATTTAATTTTAGAATTTGAATAAATCTATAAATAATTAATAGAGAGAGACTAGGAAAGCTGTACCGATTTTTTAGTGTCTCTTCGACCTATGATTTATGTTTCATGAACTATTATTGAAATATATTTTTCAAATTAAGAAATAAATGATTATAAGTGTATAAATAAATATATTTATTTATTATTATGTTTGAAATTATATGGTATCCCAGGCGATAATTTAAACGAAGAACGTAAGTTAAAATTTTATCATTATTAATTAAGAATTTATTAAATCTGATGATATAAACAATAAATTATTGAATAACACAATAATAAATAAATAGCAAAAAAAATCATAATTTGCAATTTATATGAGATAGTAAACATGTTATATTACAAGAAAAAAACGCTATTATGTGAAAATTACTTAGTGTGTTCCGATTTTGAAAATATTTTTTCTAACGAAATTATTCGGTCATAAGACTCCAGGAAAATTATTGGCAAAGGTCGAAAAAACTTGCCGCTCGTCCGCGCACTTTAACATTTCGACCCTATTTGACAAAAACCCCCATTGACATCAAGGTTTTTAAACCAAATGTATGAAATTTTCATGAGACCCGTCTAGAAACGGGATCAATTTCCGAGGTATCATGAAAAAAACATTTCAATCTGTTCATATTTTAGCGTTATACAATGTTTTTTTTTGTGCTTGCGCAGAGTTTTTATTAGGATACGATTTTGAGTGTGTCCATTGTAATATATTTTGTATATTTTATGAATCAATGTTTGATAATTATATATAAATTTCATCACGGTTATATGGATGAACATACATTATTAGGACTGTATGGTCTACTATTAATCTTATTTATTTCTTACATGATATATCAGTCTATGTATTTGATTTATATTATATATATTTATTTATGTATTTTCAAAGCTTGTGATATTCAAGGCGATGACCGAATTGCAGATCGTAAGTTAAAACTTAATTAACTTTTTATATTATTAATTATTAATTTAGTATTTAATGAAAATTTATTATGAATAAGTCAAGTGATAATTTGAGTAATTGTGTAGCTAAGTTATCGTAGTGTTAAAATTCCAAAACATTTTCTACATCATAATTTTGTATAGAAAAAATCATGTCAAACTAAAATATCACTTTGTTTAGAGACATGTTCCGTCTGTTGGGATAATAATCCAGATACATCAATAGGAGTATGTACACATAAATTTTGCAAAGGTTGTATAGATACTTGGAAATTTGATAAGATAAGCTATCGTTGTCCTTTATGCAATTATGTATACGATAACCCTGACTTTGAAGAAGGTATATTAATAATATTTGGAAATATAATGATAAATTTTATAACTATTTATTTTTAGTGTAAGACCCAAATATTGATTTTGTATATTATGTATAGTTAAATTTTGTATTAAAATAATGTTATTAACATTTTCTGCTTAATTTAGTATCATAGATAATTCAAAGAAGGAAATGGAGGATACTGTAATATTTGGGGTGTTATCTTGGTATTTATTTTATTAATTTTTTTACGATATTTTTTATTGTAAAAATTAATGTTTGTATACGAGATAACCTTTAGCTTCGATTCATAGCTCATAAGGTATTATACCAAGATGTATTTATTACTTTTTTTTAAATTTTTGTGTCTTTTAGCTTCGATGCGAAGCTGAGAAAGTATTTGTTTTACTAAGATATATTTATTTTTTTTTTTTGTGTCTGTTACCACTTTTTCTCAGCTCTCACCGAACGGATTTCTTTCAATGATACGTCAAAAGATCACAAATTAAATTTTTAATTTTTTTGGAGGTTTCCTCCATTTACGGGGAACGAGGGAAATTTTTTCAATTTTGAAGGGTAATGTCTTCGACTAGATACAATTTGTGATCTTTTGACGTATCGTTGAAAGAAATCCGTTCGGTGAGAGCTGAGAAAAAGTGGTAACAGACACAAAAAAAAACACAAAATAGTAAAAGTAAGTATTAGCTTCGCATCGAAGCTAATAGAATAAAAAATGATCTCACATTCAAAATAATCGGTTGTTAACAAGTTTTAAACCAGTATTTTGGAATTTATAGATCTATTTATTTTTAGCTTCGATGCGAAGCCGAGAAGGTATTGGTTTTACTAAGATGTGTTTTTTTTTTTTTTTNTGTTTTACTAAGATATATTTATTTTTTTTTTTTTTGTCTGTTACCACTTTGTCTCAGCTCTCACCGAACCTATTTCTTTCAATGATACGTCAAAAGATCACAAATTGTATCTAGTCGAAGACATTACCCTCAAAAATTGAAAAAAATACCATCGTTCCCCGTAAATGGGGGAAACCTCCAAAAAAATCCAAATTTAAAAATCGCTAATTTTCGAAATTTTTTCAATTTTTTTTACTTAAAAGTGCCATAACTTTTTCAAAAATAAATATATCAATATAATTCTTTTTTATATAGATGTTTGATGTCTTTACTTATCATTTGGTATATTTTTTTTGTAAATCTGACACTTAACCTGCCCACAGGGGGGGATTTAAAATGACAACTTTTTCACAAAAAATT